TCAGCAGTTTTTGAAGAAAATGCTGCTTTGTTTTCAGCAACTGAAAATCAGTCTGTGCTCATTTTTTCATCACAGTGAGAATTTTCAACTGAAAATGGGCCAATGACTTTACGCTTCCCTTCACCAAATGATCTGATCAATATATAGCTTATCCCTCCCATCCCTATCCTGTATCTTTCTGGTGCCACTGTTTGTCTGTCTCCACCCTCCCCACAGCATTTTCCGTGTACATCCATTTCTTCTCGTGCTCCATTATGTGCCACCTCTCTCTTCCTCTTGCATCCAGCTTCCCCCTGAGGTGCTTAAAGGCAACTTTTGCAATAGGCTTTTCCCAGTTTTCCCAACAGACCCCTTCTGCTTCTCCCCTCTGTGGTATTGAAAAGCCTCCTTCCCTCCCTTTGGCTTCTCAAAACTTAAGCCTCGGTAGACTTGAAGGCAGCAAAGTGCGTTTTATGAAATAACTTATTTCAGCAATTGCAACAGTGCTGCCCTTCAGCGCAGATTTCTCAGAGGTCCTCTGATGAAGTTCTTGATAACAAACAGTCTGGTGCAGTGTGGTGGATAGCTGTGGAAATATCTAATGTCTTAATGTTATAGATCTTGGTAATATTTGACTGACATTAAAAGAAATGGTATTTTATAAATGTCACATTTTGTCATGTACAAGAGAAAAGGTTTGTAGTTCCTGGAGTAACAAAGTAATTTTGAGGCTCTTATTAAATAACTGTTTTTTAAAAACAAAACCAAGTACAGTTCAGATATGCAAGTGTGCTGTTCGTGTTCCCTTTCAGATTATTATATTTATCCCCTACTCCTTTTTTCTCTGCAGCCTTTTCCCAACATTTGATTCCACTACAGTCACACATTTCATCCAGCCTGAATTCCTCCTAAGTCACGGTGACTGGTGTTTGCTCCTGAGTGGTTGTTGGCTCTCAGAGGCAGCTAGCCAATACCAAGCGTTGTGCACAAGGACTTAAGTAGAATTTAGGCCAGATGAATCCAGGCCACAGGCTCCACACTTTTTATGACAAGTCCCATTGTAATACTGTTTTTCCTCCTTTCTTTTGGACTTGATACTTCAGAAATCCCTACAGAGTGGATTTGTATGTGGATAAAAGTACACGTGCTCACATACCTGTGTCTACATTGTTAGAAAGGAAAAATCTTAATATTCAGCTTCCCCAAAGGCTCTCATAAGACAGACTACGTATTTCCTTTTGAATCATCCAATATAAGTTTATGTAACTAAGGGATGTCTATTTTGTGCCTTGCATTTACTGTTGTGAATAAGAGCATTGTGAAAATATGAAAACTATTAGAATATTTTTAAACAGATAATATTGCCGTATACATAGTGTATCTAATAATTCAGGATTTTAATGTTGGAGTAGAATTTTGTGTATCTTGTACAAATACTGTCAAATTGTATTTCTGATTACACAAATATGCTTTAGAAGCATGCTAAAGTTGCAGTCAAACACTGTGAAGTTAGGAAATGAGAATGAAGTTTACTTAATGCTTACTTAGCTTACTATTTTTTATCATAGATTTATTTTAACTAGAATTTCTCCACTGTATCCAAGTGCTTCCAAAACATGATTGAATTTTGCTGAATTTGCTTCAGATTATGAAGGATAATTTTCTGTGGAGACATAGTCAGATGAATGCCAAGTCCTTCACAAGTACTCATGGGGTTGGAGTGACTGATATGACCCTTTTTCACAAAAGTATGTCTTGGCCAAATTTGTTAGCATTTGTGTGAACCCATGAAAAAACACGTCTGGTGGGGCTGGTTGATCTCCCAGTTGCATGCCAACTGCCTCTGTGGGAGTCTGGAGGCAATAAAGCCTGACAGTGTTATAAGTCTGCAATAATTTTTTTTTTTCTTTTGAACAACGAAACACTTTCGTATTCCATAATCTCTTGTTGGACACCACAGAGCTGCTTTAAATAAACTTTTTTTAGGAAAAAAAGAACCTTTGGGCTGATACATGTCACAGATTTTTTTGCCCAGGTTGTTATAATTTGGCAAAGTTGGAAGCAATTGAAAAAAGAGCCTCTTAATGAAAATACAGGACTAACGTTAACTGAAGGAAATACTCTCAGGTCCTTTTGTAATAAACTCAACTTTTCCTTAGTTACATTTTCCTTTGTTCAGATCAGCCAAAGTTATAAAACGAGGAGCCTTCTAATACAAAGAGAAATCTCTTTCACTTGTATCTTGTCTCTAAAAGCAGTTTCTGATGTTTGTCTAGGAGCCCAGCTGTTTGGGGTCTGTTAGGGGAGCCTATCAACAGGCAACTGAGGAGTTAGAGCTGGCTGCATGTTTTTTTACAGTTTCCAGAAGAATTTATTTCTAATTTCCTGTGTTACCAAGTATCCAAATGTGCAATTGAGATTGTATATCTGAATTTGCCAGAAATCCAACTAGTGAATGTAGCTACCAGAGTGAAATACATTATATGGGTTTCCACAAATACTTACAAGACACGTTTACAGTGTGGCTTCCAAAAGAGATGGAAACAAGCCATTAAATGTTTTCCCCTTTGCTCTCGTTGCTGGAGGAGACTGAACTGGGCTTAGAGTTTCAGGGCTGGTAGTGAAAGTAGATTCCATTTTCCAATGAAATTCTCAAGAGAAGGTAAACTGGTCTGCTTGTGGCTAAGTCTAACCAGTAAAAAAGTTCCAGGAGAATATTGACCACCTGTTTAAAACTAAATACAGTAAGTACAGGTAGGATGTGAATAAACATGTCTTTTTAGTGCATTATATATTTAAGGTGCATATTGTGCATTGTATTTATGATCAAATTTGGGATTCATTGCACACTCTTGGCTACTGCTGACAGTGCCTTTCTGACTAGCTATGGTTTATTATCCAGATTTTCCACTAGGGGAACCTGGAGCCCATAGAAGAGTTGTTTGAGACTCACCAGTTTGTACTTCTCAGCCATGCACAGAGACTGTCACATATCATTGCTTCCTGCAGGGTTTCACAATCTCTAATTCTTATTATTTTCTTTTGTTTCTAGGGAAAGTTATTGATGTTGATCATGGAATTATTTGTGAAAATGTTCCTATTATTACTCCGAATGGCGATGTGGTGGTTTCCAGACTAAACTTCAAAGTAAGATGATATACAAGAATCTTCTGATTGTTGCCGTCACATTAATATAAACAGGACAGAATTCATGTACCTTATGTTAAGTACTTGGAGGAGCATATGGATAAAATGGGAAGTCCAGAAAGGTAGGCATAGTAGCTCAATAGAGGCAGACGTACGTAGTTTATCCTGCTCAGAGAAAGAGAAGAGAGGATTTCTGGTGCTGTTGCCAGGTGAAAAACTGACCTGGGATTTTCAAAGGCATATATAGAAGTCTGCATCCATCTTTACTTAATTTCATTTGAATTGGGATGCTTTACTCGCATAGGCTCCTTTAAAAGTCTGAGTTCACAGCAACAGTGAAAAAATTGGGTCTGTAGTTTTGCTTGATCACCACAAAGAGCAGTACTAACTAATAGTTTGCAGCATAGTTCATAAGCCCAACCGTCTAGTCTTTACTCAGTATAGACTTGTATTGTTTTTGAAAAGCTATTCCAGATACCAGTCGGTACCTGCTCAGAAATTTAGTGGATGACCTTTTACTCCCATATATATCCTTACTTCATGTTCCAGTACAGGTGTTATTATTTTAAAAAATAGTTGAAGTTGTCAGAACACTAACATGAATAATTCCAGCAGGTCCTTTAATTTAGCTGAAGCAGAGTGCTCCTCTTGCCGCCTCTTGGTGTGTAGGAATTAGCAACTAGGAGGACAGGGTCCTAGCTATGGCAAAACTTGAAATGGCTTCAGTGTAGGAATTTCAGATTTGTAAAATTATGACTTTATGGTCAAGGAGACATTGATGTTTACTTATTTGGCTCAAGAGACAAAACCAACAGAAAATATAACAGTAAATATATTAATGTAAAGCATAGACAATGGCGTTGTGTTTATGCATAAATATACACTCATATATACACAGGGTAATATTCAAATGAATAAAAACAAGTGCATCACAGCCAAAATAACGCTGGTACTTAAGCAGGAAAGGACAATGTGAAGTAAATTTTCCAAATCATTTGATCTGGCTCCTATAGCTTAAATTAATATCACTGATGGGCGTAGCGCTTCTCTGTATGCCATCAACACCTTTGGACCTAATCTGCATTTGAATTATTGATTCTGACTGTGGTGTGTTGACATTGTGATATAATCAGTGTAGTTTATATAACTACTCAGACATTATAGAAATTTTTTTCATTATTTCAGCCTGTGTGTTATATCTAATGCCACTGTTTCCAGAACAGTTGCATAAATATGTGCAGATAATTAATGGAATGTGTTGATAATTTGATATAAATGCTCACGTAACTCCCTCTAGGAGACTTAGACTGCCTTGTGCCATGTATACTGCATGCTAACATCTTTGCATTTTCATTGCTATGGTAGGTCCAGGAGGGGATGAATCTTTTAATCACGGGACCCAATGGCTGTGGAAAGAGTTCGCTCTTCAGAATTTTAAGTGGTTTGTGGCCTGTGTATGAAGGAGTTCTCTACAAACCCCCTCCACAGCACATGTTTTATATACCACAAAGGTACGTGTTTTGCTCAAGGTGATACCTTTTTTCTGGTTTTGACCCCGCTTCTCTCGTTTTCAATCTGATATGTAGAGCCAAGTTAAAAGGTGGTAAGCGGAACCTCAGCTATGTGTAGAGTGCTGAAAAAAGAGATCCCTTCTCGTGGGTGATGCAAATCTTCAGTCATTAAAAAGGGCTCACATACCAGCGTGGTGAAGCCTATGTTCCCCTGCTGGCTAAAGTCTTGGATGGTTGGGATCATGGGAACAGACTAGAATCTGAAACAAATTTGAAATAGACCTAATAGATCTTAATTCTGATTTCAGTTTAAAGCCAAAGATCAAAACAAGTGAGAGTGTTTTGGCTCCTAAATTTTGAATTGTTCAAAATAATTTTCAAAACGTCAACTTTTACACTAGAAGATCAGAATCCAATCCAATATTAACTGTGGATTGCCTTTTTAATAGTAAGTGCTCATTTCACTAAAGGGAACATGGCTTTTTTGTGCGTTGTTTGTATTCTGACTTGCTATTGGATTATTAGAACATAATTTAGTGCATTGGATTCTAGAATATCTCCTTAGAGACTTCTAACTAGGTTGTTTTGCAAAAGCAAAACCAAACACTGAGAATCTTTGATTGCTTTCTGTAGTTCGTTTCTTCCCATGGGCAAAAGAAGTATTCATGGTACAGTTTGTAGTCTTGTTTGAAAGGTACAAGCTATTAAGCTGAATGGAAGATAATAAGTGATGAGTAGATTTTCCTCGCTGCAGGTGAAGATAGCAAAGAGCATTTACCTATAATTTTTTCAAATATATGTATAATTTATTGATAGCCGTTGTCATTTTCCTGAGCCACTCGATGGTTTCATTCAGGAATTTGGAGCAAAATGCTTTATTAAATGTTTTTCAAAATAATGTCAGAATTCTCATTGTGCGAGACATTCTTAAAATTAGTTTTATTCTTAGGCAGAACAAAACCTATTCTGGATATTTTTCTTGCAGAAGATCATGATGTTTCAGCCACTTCTGTCGTCTATGTGATCCCAGCCCCCTCTCAGATCAACATCTGAGGCTGGCTTGCCTACAGCCCTTCCCCTTTACTTATGCCCCCTTAACTCTGTGAAAGCAAACAGACTCGCATTGCATTCAGGCAGATTTGCCAGGGTGCTGGCTGAAACGATTGAATCGCATCTGCTGGGGTTTCATTTCCATAACCATGGATCTTTGTTAGCTGTTTCCCCTAACTTTGCAGTGCTGGGGGAGTTTGTCCAGCACACCACTTCTTTGGAACATTACAAAACTTTTAGTCAGAGTATCGTCTTTGCCGTGTGCCCTGAAGGTGTCACTCGTATGCAGTCCATCCTAACAGCGTCCCCCAGGAGAGAGGGTGCTGCCGTGGTGTCTTCAGGACATCTAAGTGACGTTGCCATGGATTCGCTCTGTGTGGTCTCTGCGCTTCTCAAGGATTTTTTAGGCAGTACAGAGGTATTCGCTTCCCAAGGGATAGAGCAGTGTCTGGGTAAATGGGGTGACAGTGAGTGACAGAGAGGGCTCTTCTACAAATGCGCTGCACCTCGTTTGTGGCTGAAGATTTTGAAGTCTACTTGGGGGGACAGTTCAGCTCTGTCAGTGTGGGTTCGGTAGGCTCAGAGGTCTGGCCTGTCACTTGTAAGTGTCTTGTATTTGGAAAGGGACTGTGAGACTGAGCATGGTAGGGATTTGTGACTGCAAGGCATTGGTATAGGGCAGCAGTCAATCAGATTTGTCAGTTAGGATGTCCTTGAGGATCCCAAAGCGCTTTTTTTGCCCAATGGATTTGTTTTTTGGGCTTACAGAGTCTTGGATGAATATCTGAGACACTAAGAATGTCTTGAAGGAGGTTCAGTTTTAAATTGAAAATTATACATTTTTGGGCCAGATTTGCAAGAGATCTGACGGATCTTTAGGCCTTTTGTGTGCAGTGCCTTATGTGGTCCAGACTTTTTTTTTTCTGCCTGTATTCAACTTCGGAGTGTTCTAACAGTTGATTTATTTGTGGCCTAAAGAATTATGCATTCAGTTGGGTTTTTTTTTTGCCTGTCCTTGGCTCTAGAATACATTTAGAATTTCTGTAGTGGTTTATAATTTGTTCTGAAGTCCTGAAATTAAAGCAGCTTGTTTTGGGAGGTCCTGCTGGTGCAACCATTTTGTTTGTTAACACTGTGTAAATTGCTGCTTGGTCAGTATTGCCTTCTGTTTGTTTGTTTTTTTTAGACATAATTCTGAAACTGCAGACTGGAAAAGATAGTGCCCTGCCTACATTTCATCATATATATATTACAGCATAACTTTAGGGAAAATCTATGTTCTGAACTGACAGGATTTGGGAGGTGGTAGGACAGTATCACCTGGATTCAACCTACCTCACTCTTTTGTTTGGTGGGTAGGTGAAAACTGTGGTATAGCAGGAGGCTCTTGAATTGGTGGATGTCTGTCAGAACAGTGAATTAGAATGACATCATTGTGTTTAAGTGTATACATTATGTCTCTGGTCTAAGAACATGGGAGATGGTTCTCCATGGGTGGGCACAGTTACCACTGAGCCTGGTAAGAGCTTATTCCTGTGTGCCTGTCACGGAATTTAATTCTGCATCAGTCCTCTTTGAGTCAAATGTGGGAACCTCGTCTGCACGCAGTGAATGGTGGAGAATACAGGGACTACTAAGTAACAAAATACTCCACAGTAAATAGGAGTTCACTGAAAAGATTATTTTTTCATCTCTCTTTGTAATGTTCCAGCGTAGTATTGCAGAAATGCGTGGGAAATCATGTGTCTTTGCTGAGTTCAAAAATGGCACACAAAAGTATGATTTATTAAGAAGTGAATTATCTCATTGTATGCTCTAAATTTCATTAGCACAGCAAATGATTTGTAGTCAGCTTTACTTGGCAGTTTGTAGGCTTTAAAACAGAGCCTGAAGAGTCCCTGTCGTCTTATCTTTTTAGATTGCTTAGCATCGTTATACTGCTTTTTTTAGATTTTACTGTGAATCTTTGTAAGATTTTTTTTTTCCCTCCCCTTCTATAGGGCCAGGCCATGCAGAATTTGTCCTTTATCAGTCACAGTTCTGGTGGATGGTGATGGGACAACCTGCCCTTTTTGGGGGCAGGGAGAGGGAAGCCTGGGGATTTCTGTGAGTGTGGCTCTGCTGCTGTCCGTGACAGGCCTGTTAAAGAGAAGGGTGAGCAGAAGAGAGAGAGGCTTTAAGCAGTCCAGCATCACATTGGTGCCAGAAGCAGCTTGTTTTCAATCATGGATCAGTGCTAGGAACTGGTCACAACTCAACATGTTGTCACATCTCATTGGAGCCTCAGTAACTGGCAGTGTGTGCTCCTACCCCTTCTTCTACTTCTCTGTCCCTCTTTTGCAAAGTGGATTTCATTGTGTTTACCACCTCT